GTGGGCCAAATATGCCCCTATGTCCACACGGTGGATTTGAAGAGCTCTTAGCCTTACCCAGCACCAACCACGAGGAGATGGCTCTTCACGGGTGCCTAGTTTAACTATAAATGACAATACAATATAGAAACACGCTAGAGATTGCCAACAACTAAAGGTAGATCACCATAATAGGGACCACGGAGACTCACGGTATTAACGTCCATTCAGCCACTGGCGATTGTACTGAGTATGTATTGAAACGTTCGAATAACTGTAGGATTTTGATACAGAAAGAAAACATACGAACATTGTTTCACAGATTCTTAAGCAGTGTAAATTCAGTGGATGTGACTTGGTTTCAACAGCGCATCATCAGTACTCCTTCCAAGCGGTATATAAATCCAGGCTACCTCGATTGTGAAGCAATGTTGCCAAGCACTATGGTCATAAAAGCAAGTTTAGACGTCAAGAAAATAGCATATGTTTAGATCATGCACGAAAGCTTAATGTTGCGAATTCTCTAGCATAAAATAGTTCTTTCAGCAAAGATGTCACGTTGGTTTAATTATTGTTTCATTCCTTTGGTAATTTTCTCGAAACTTCGTGTTCCTTTAATAAAACTTGAAAATTCCTGAATGTTTCGTTTATTTTTGAAAGGGAAAGTTAGTAACGATAAAATATAATCGAAACACAGATAAAAAGTGAGTAAGCGAATTTAGTTCACGCAGCAATATTCCAACCATATGGAGGCGGTCTGTAAATAATCGAATCTGGACCAGACAGTCCAGTGATCAACATCAGGAGCCTCTATCCACGCAATTGGGACACGATGACATGTGTCAACCAAGTCAGCAAGCCTGACCACCCGATCCCGTTAGTCGCCTCTTACCAAAGATAAAATGATTTGGCGCCTTGAGCATGTATCAGTGGGTGGAAAATGGCGCGCTAAAAATATCCATTATTATTATTATTATTATTTGCTACAAAACTAGACCGATGTAAATAAACCTAAAGTGGCAGTGGGCGGTGGGGTAGCCTGGTGGTTAAAGCGTTCGCTCGTCACGCCCAAGGCCCGGGTTCGATTCCCCACATGGGCACAATGTGTTAAGCCCATTTCTGGTGTCCCCCGCCGTGATATTGCTGGAATATTGCTAAAAGCGGCGTAAAACTAAACTCAGTCAGTCAGTCAGTAAAGTGGCAGTATTGTGTGACTGACCACTATTTATCCACTTGCTACAAACCGACCACACAGACATGACCATTATGATGTTTTATCGTTTTATCGTTTTTATTCCTATGTAGTACATTATATCAAAGTGATGCACAGTGCTCAAAATATGAACGATAGGTCGTTAGGATGATGATAACATCCAGCTCATACGAGGAAGATGAGTGTTCCATCTTCATCGGGGGGAATAGAAAGAATTTTTTTTTTGCAGTGCACAGCCACATGCATCAGCTTATGAGCGTACCGGAAAGTATGTCATACGTGTGGAGTTATTCTCATTCTGGTCTTCGTTAGTGTATGAAGTGACATCCAGGATAGATTGCCCCCTGCGTTAGTGTAGGCCGTGCAGGTTAACATTGTTGCAAGATCCGAACCACCAGCCGCCTCCGCTAAGATCCGTACAGTGTGAGGAGTTTGCATCGAGGTCAGGGTCACAGACCGAGAAGGCGCAACCCTGGAGACATTCCAATCCATTCCCTTAAATCAACCAAGAAAATATATACATTATCCAAATACAACCGTAAACATTAGTAAACAACGGAATAGTGTTGAGTTTATCAACCAATCATACTTCGCTACCTTCAGATGTAGTCACTGGTTTAAGAATGCCGACAAGTATCAAGTTTATGATAGTTATCGCTGCAGTGAGCAATATTCCAGTAGCCGTCTGTAACTAACCGAGTCTGGACCAGACAATCCAGTGTTCAACATCATAAGCATCGATCTACACAATTTGGGAAACGATGACATGTGTCAACCAAGTCAGCCAGCCTGACCACCCAATCCCGTTAGTCGTCTCTTACGATACGCATGTGTTGCTAAAGACCATTTCCATCCTGGACTTCGGCGGGTTCAGCCTTCCAATGCGGGTAAAATACTTTGAATCCGCACTCTGGCCTTTTTTACCCCTTAGTTCCTGGGTCAACTATAACACAAGAGAATACTACTGCCTATTTTACTCTGCAAACTGTAAACAAGACAAGCTTTAATGTTCCATGTTAGCTACCTGCAGTACCTGTGTACCCCCCTGACTGCAAAGCGTAGTTCATGGACGAGTTCCCTATGGAGAAATCCTGGTAAAACGCCTTCCATTTAGTGTTTTGAGAGTCCCATATCTGTATGAGTAACGCAGTCCTTCCTTCTTCGGTCAAACGCCATATCTTCTCATTCCCCTGCAACATGAAATCATATTTCTAAGATCGTGCCGAGTGAGTGAGTGAGTTTAGTTTTACGCCGCACTCAGCAATATCACAGCCATACGGCGGCGGTCTGTAAATAATCGAGTCTGGATCAGACAATCCAGTGATCAACAGCATGAGCATTCATCTGCGCAATTGGGAACCAATGTCATGTATCAACCAAGTCAGCGAGCGTGACCACCCGCTCCCGTTAGTCGCCTCTTACGACAAGCATAGTCGCCTTTTGTGGCAAGCATGGGTTGCTGAAGACCTATTCCACCCCGGATCTTCACGGGTCTTGTGCCTTGTGAACATGTTATCCTTCAGTGGGCATTTGTATTAATAAATGCTGCTTTGAATTGTAATGACGTACATTTTGGTTTGGTGGGTGAGCAAGTTAATATTTTGATTCAATATATCAGCTAGATTGTGACAATAGTAACAACTGTACTCGTTAAGTATACATAATTCAGATTATAAAACAACTGTCCTCTAAATATAGACCGGGGTTCAGCTTCAATGTCATTTAGAATGGTCTGGACATCACTGTTCCAGTTGATTGCCCTTGGGCATCCATGATCAACCTTTGAAAGGGAAGACGAAACTGCAGTAGAATGGAAGAGTTCTCTTCTATTACTTTCGTTGCCTCTAAAATTGAAGTACCTGGCTGTAAGAATTTTATTTTGTTTCACATATCAGGGGCATGAGCTTGAAAAGAACATGTGGTCACCTTCTACCAACAGAAATCGTAGTCATGATCAGATTTGTGTACAGATACTTCATCCCAAGAATTAGCAGTATCTGTATCCACATACCTTCTCTTAGGTTTAGATCGAGAAGCGGTGAATTGTGGGGTAACCATATTGAGAGAACAGACCTTCTCCCCACCCACCATTGAGTGGGTGGGGAGACGGTGTTGTAGTGGAAACCAACCATAAACACCAGCGTTACAGGGATGCTTTACTCCAGCAAGATTGACACAGGTACCCAGCTAACAATTTCACGTTGTCACAACGTTATGTTCTCATTGTTAAAACACGATATTACGTCTGTACAAAGAAATGGACTCCCATTTATTTTGTCACAACGTTATGGCGTGACGTTGTGATAAGCCATTTTCACGTCTTCATAATCTTATGGGAAGATTATTAGTACATTATGATAACGTTACATTTTACGTCGTGAAGACGTAATGATAGCACGTCCATACAGCGTTATTCTGTGGACTTCTATTTATGTTGTCACATCATTGACGCCTGACGTTGTGATACCCCAGATACCATTCTGACGTTGACCAACGATGTTTAGCCAGTGGTATCTGGGGTAACACAAGATCAGGCAAAACCGTTGTGACAGCATAAATAGGAATCCACAGAACTCGTTGATCTAATGTTGGATGGGCGTCTGTTTGTACAAATCCAACAATGCTATCACATAGCAAGAGATACATTCTTCAACTTGAATTCGAATTTACTTTGGGCTCTATCCATGAAACAGCCACACAACTAAATGCGCTCTAAGTGTCTTGGCTAGGCACACCTGGATAGCTTGATGTTGGCTCAAGAAAAATGAAAGCAAATAGTTAATTTATTAAGCATATTTCAAGACAATTTCAAGGCTATATTTGTCACAAATGATTCAAAACAATACTAAAGAAATAATTGATTTTCAAATGTATACCAATCAGACAACAGGACCTACAAAAAATGTCCAACACAATGCTGTGTGCCTGACCTTACCCCAGAATTTAACACAAGAGGCAGGAGTGAGAGCTGCAAAATAATACATGCTTCTGATGTCCCACAGTCCATTTTCTGGATCAGTTAATAATTGACCTTTATTTCTTAAATAAGTCAGATCCCTCAGGGGATCCGTATATTTCCAGTCTTCAAATGAAAGCTATAAGTTAGGCTGGTTCTGTCTTTGGCATATTGATAGAGAAACCAGGCATACAGGCTTCCCCGTTTGGTGGCCTTGTGCTGAGAACCTGTTCTACCCCTGGCCGCCACGGATTGCAGCTATATGTGAAAGAAGGTTGCGGTGCACGCTGCACTGTTGTCGAAACGTGAATAGGTCAACACGCATTTACAGTGTCTAGAACAACAAATGTCGGAACATAAAAGAACCATCAACGACGAAGACAACTTTGTCAACAACACCCTCACCACATCGAGTATGAACATCACATTCAATTTAAACCAAATCAGTGACAATGTGCAAAACCGCCTGAAGTATAACTGATATGGATATGACATTGGGGGTGCTAGTAACAACAAGCAGAGACCGCTAACGTTTTTGCCGTCCAATAAATGTTGACGACTTATGCTAATATGCATGTTGCAATGTGCTAATGTGATCTACCATCCCGAAAACAAAATGTCAAGACCAATATTTGATCATGTTTACTGGTTATCGTGGTTATTATTATACGTCATCATTTACGTATTTCGTCATCGACAACACCACTGAGGGGTATGAGGTATGTCTGCCTAAGTCAGACCGTGCGCATTCGGTATAAACATACATTGTTAGTAAAAATACAATACACCGGCCAAATTATGTACATGGTTGTCGAATTTACTACTTAGATATTGATTCCAGCTGCTTCTTACCTAACCAGAACTCCCTCTTAAGGTCGCCGAATCCTTCTTTGTACTCGTCCCAGGTGCGATCGAATCCTTCCGACCCACCGTACCGGTTTTGAATCACCTGCCGATAAATATATACGATTGAATATATATTGACTGTCCAGCAGTTTAATCAGCTGAATAATATTATTCTTCATAACACCACCCGCTTCATTGTATCTTCCACGAAGAACATGCGATCGGGAACCTGGGGCCCGTTTCCCTAAGCGTCCGTAGCGCTACAACTGTCGTAAGTCTGTGTTAAAGAATTGGAGTTACGATCATTTAGTGCTACGATCGCTGTGTGATATGGGGGACCGCCATATAGCTGGACTATTACTGAGTGCGGCGTAAAACTAAACTCACTTGTGATATGGGGCCCAGGGTAAAGTAGTGTGCTATAGTGTGCTATAGTGTGCAATGGAAGCTACTACAGAGTTGTGGAACCCAAAAGGCATATCCACTATATTCTGCTTAGGGAATCTGAGAAACGTCTCGAGTCTTTTTCTTTGATATGTAAGGGGTGCTAAAGGTTGCCGCTCCTCATCTCACATGAAGTTCAGTGACAAGAAGACCAGCAATTGTGTGGATATCAATCTTGCCCTCGGTACCCCTGGATACTTGGAAGTGCAGTTAGGTGACAATTACAATCATGGTATTTATCGTTATAATCACTGTGTCTGCATTACACAATTGTAATACCTCTGTTGTGATTCTTATTAATTTATAAACTTTAAATGTATAAAGCTAATTTTAGTAGACAGCTGTTACTTATACTACATTACGTTGTTGTCTCTTGGTGTCACCCTGGCTTCATGTACGGACTAATTCGTGGTCAGATTTCAGTCCCAACTAGGGAATCAAAAGTAACATGATAAGTCGTTCACTGGTCCCTCGGGGACCATGGGTTAATATACCCTCTATGGTTGTTCATGTTCCTTGAGGGCTAACGCACCTATCTTATCCAACACCTCAATGTAAATTTTGAACTGGGTATCGGATCATATTAACGAGTAACAGAGTTAGGCATTTAGCCAATGCTATATTTTCTAATGATATAGAATCTATCAGACAAAAAAATAAAGAGTTATCTCCCTCCCATCGATTTGCATTCGCAAAACATCGGTAATTTCCGTTCATTATATGTGACTCAATTATTCGAGATTCAGAATTACTAATACGAAGTACCAAATGAATTCCCACAGTACGGCATTCGTAGCGGGTAACATAGAAAATGTTACTCGCTTGTAAGTGGGGTGCATTAGAAATAATGGAAGAGTGCTCAGCCATTCAAAAAACGGCATTTACGCGTGAGGTAAGATAACATAAATTGTGAGGTGCTGGACATTGCTGCTGATTTAGAAGAGGAGATAGTAGGTAATTATGTTTACAAGCTTAATTCCGTAATATAGAATACATGAGTAAATACTACTTATCCATAATACTCCATGGCATAATTACACACAATTCTTAATAAAATGCCATACAGAACTCATTGAAATAGCCAACTCAGATGAATCGTAAGGGACACAAATATAATATTCATTTTGTTAGGGAGTGATCAATGCGGAACTCTGTCGAAGTGAAAAGTCAAAGGGTCCGTACCGTCCAAGCGTGGTTGCTGGTGTCGTGAGGAAAGGTACAGAAGACCTGAAATGGTCCTTGCGGATGGCTGATAGTGTAGATTCCGTTATGTGATGGTTCATAGTTGTAGTAGGCTCCGATTTCTGCGCAGTTGGCTAAACCTGGAAATGAAATAATTTCGAAAAGAAAACCGAAATGAAAATACACATTTACAGACACTGGCCACTCTTGGTTTGTGAAATTTAAAAACAAGAAAATGTGTTTGCAATACATAAGAAAACGAAAATATATCCACCCACAGTGTAAACTGGTCTTAACGCACGTCTTAATACATTCATAGGTTGCTGTACTAATTACTTAGACAACTTCTATTTCTCGTCCAGTGACAATCTCCACTGCACTTTCGATACATACGATCTATTAAATCTCCTGCACGATTGCTCACGAGTACTTAGCTCTTCTACTACAGCGTTTCACGGAAGTGTTGTGAAAGAGTACAACACTAATTAGAAAACTCTCTTGCTTAGCTCTCTTGTCAGATCCAATTTCAATTTATAGGTTGTATATTGTACACCACTATCCCACTTGAAAATTGAAGGAAAAAATTAATCCCATCATGTACGGGACATGCGATAATGAAGAGTGAGTGAGTTTGGTTTAACGCCGCACTCAGCAATATTCCAGCTATATAGCGGCGGTCTGTAAATAACCAAGTCTGGACCAGAAATTCCAGTGATCAACAGCATGATCATCGATCTGCGCAATGGGGAACCGATGACATGTACCAGCCAAGCCAGCGAGCCTGACCACTCTATCCAGTTAGTCACCTCTTACGACAAGCATGGGTGGCTGAAAACCAGTTCTAAACGGGATCTTTACTGGTTTCGTAATGATATATTAAATCCCATAACTTGATATCAGCACTGGTTCAAACCGACAAAACCCTTTGAACTATTATTATGCTGTCCGTACAATGATGTATTAACTGATATAAATACAATACTCACGAAATCCCCATGGGTAGAACCTGAAGTACTGGAATCCATCGTTTCGGGTCAACCTGTTCGGATTCATGTATGCGAAAGCATGTGCTTGACATGATCCAGTAAACTCGTTGTGGAAGAAGGACACGCAGTGCTCGTCGTTTGAGCACAGCTTCGCGCATTTGGCAGCAAAGAATTCCTCTCTTTCCCATATAGGCGGGTCTTTGGCAATGTGATCTTTGAACAATTTGATCCGGCGATATTCATGAGCTTCACATTGCGGTTGTTTATCCGCAGCATAGACATCAACCAGGAATACCAGGCTGGGAACCATGCACCACATCACAAAAACCGTCATGCTCTCAGTAGAGGCTAATGGCAGAGTGAAGCTTCACTTTGGTCTTTGTAATACGTTGGATTTGAGAAAACTTTCAGAGCGGTCAATAATGTTTATTAAGGGTAGTTGGTTGTGTTTACATTTCCAGCAACTCAATATTGAAGTAAACATGCCTTTTTGGCGTGTGTAATGGATGCATGTTTAACAACAACACTCTGTGTTTGCCCTTAAGAGGTTTTAAATCACTAAAGTGTCTGGAAGAGACTTCCCAACCGATCAATGTTCCTTTGGTCCATTAGTGACTGTATAATGGGTTTTAGATTACTAGATTCCATAGTTTCCAGAGTATGGTTTCTGTTTGAGAACTGTTGTGCATGAAAATACTGAAAGTTCAGAAACATTTATTTTATTTCATGTGTAAATTACTCAAATGAGTCTTACTCAGATGAACGTCCATGTGTTATGACGCAACCCACTCTATATAGGACATCGGTCCTTTCCTGTTAAAAAAACCAACATCTTCTTCTTATTTGAAATTACAAATAGTAGTGTTCTATTGGTTACGATTTTAATGCTCGTTTTCCATCATTCACTAAATATTTCTCTTAAAACATAAAGATCAACATGGACTGATACCAAACACAGAGTGTATAAACTCCGCATTAAGTAAACATAACCGAGTTCAACATCAATACACGATACTACATTGGTGGAAATTCAGAAAGGACCTGAAAACACGAGACCTTTCCAAGGAAGGATACGCCCTTTGGCAGAAGCACAAGACTTCATTCTTTAATGTCAAGTGGCTTGTTAAAAACAGAAATGGTTTTCATATCGTCGCAATTCCATTAGAACGGACCTAAAATCAGTCGCGTATAGGGCCCAACCTACCAGGTGTCCGTTGTTGTCCGAAGAGCACAAAGCATGGAGCATGTTTGGGACATTATGGCAGAGAGATTGCCCAGTACAAAATCTTGAACTATTGCAAAATAATCCAAGATTCAAAAAATGGAACGCAATACATCAATGTCAAATTCACGTATTGTACAGCCAATGAGGTGTGTGAGTTTTGTTTTAGGCTGCATAGCAATATCCCAGCAAGATCACGGCGGGGGACACCAGAAATGTGTTGCACTCACGTGGGGAATCGAACCCGGGGTCTTCGCTGGTCGGTGAATGCTTTACCCATCAGGCAACCACACCGCCCCTGACACGGGATGTTATTGCAGCCGGCATTCTACTAAACTTTGTAGTCGATATAATTTTAATTTCAACTAGTCGACTTTGAAAGACCAGTTGCAATCTCTCACTCAGTGATCGGTATATTCTGACCATGTATTTGCACATCTGTGCCCATAAGTACTATTCACACTGATAACTTGGACTTATTCTATATATTCACCTTTATGTTTGTTTTTTCTTCTGGTTGAGCCATCGACGGATGTTGAAGTGCTAACGTTTGGCACCTGATAGTTTACATACGCCATGCCATGTACATAACATGGGCATACAACCCACTGCCTGTCAGGTTTCACATGAGGTTTGGAAATTTCATGTAAGTTTCATCGTGTGTGTCCATATATTCACATACTGTTCGTGTAAGATCTATTTCTAGAGATGGGGTGGTATTGTGATTTAAAGATTTGTAAAACCTTCATACAATTCGCTCCTGTTTGTAATATAGATGTTTCCTATTAATATACCTCTTTCATACCGACTGCTCCAACTTCTAAATGCCTCTCAAAAACGTAATTTGTTTAAAGGTCACATGCAACCAAAAAATCAAACATAATTAAAACACAATTATCACTTATTCATGACATATAATATACATTGCTGGTAATGAAAAAACATATAAACAAAATTATAAGTGTACAATCGCAAATCAAAAGTGCAAAATTGTGTACTTCGGTTTACTTCCCAAGAAACGAAGCAGCCGGGATACCGAACTTTTAAAGTCCATTCAGAATCTGCAAAGTTGTGTTTTACGTTGCATGTGACCTTTAAAGTCCTTAGTCTTGTTACACAGAGATATCGAACACGTATGTGCCGGATAACGCCGTCTTACGCTAAACTGGTCGGACAGGTACGTTTCATTTTCAAATATGTAATCACAACAGCTAGACAACACGTCATCTTTATGAAAGTGAGAATACTAGTTTAGTAGTGAATTTTGACATTAGGTGCGTTGGGTGGTTGTTTTTTTTCTCCATTGGATGGTAAGTCTGATGAAGTTAGTTTGGGTATCTTAGTCTAAATTAAGATCAAGTATCTAGAAAGCGCAAAACTGATATAAGCTAAAGCAGATGTAAGGACTCTATACTGAACGATATGTCTGTCTTAAAAATTGTACAAAATGACCTTTTTGAGTAGAGACAAGGATACTGGGGATACAAGTGTCTTGTGAAGTATCAGATGGCTCACAATCCACCTGACACTTGCCACATGCTGAAGGTTCAGTCTCAGATTCCCTTGCTAATTGGACAAATGACAATGTTGTGGCAAACAAGGGTGAACCAATTTGTCAAAGACACAGCATAATACATACACATACGTGTTAAAATGTCCTCTACTGTGATTTTATTTGTCGACAATATGCGTTCTTAAATAAGAAAGATCAGATGGAGGTGATTATATATATACTCACAAAAGACGAATAGCACGTATATCTTGACATACCATTTCACACGTCACAAAACACATGCTAAAGAGAGTTCATCTGATTGTCATGGGAAAATAACCATCAGCACGTAATAGGAGTAAGTAATATATTTGAGCATGTAGTGACAACTGGAAACGTACATCAAATCCCATAGTAAAAGTGGAAATTGCACATCGTGCCATTTTGTTTCATGTTTACGAATCGTACTCCAATGTGGTCATGTGTTCCTATTGATGTGTTTGATGGAGGTGCCTGACCATGTATCCATTCTTCACCAAGTTCTGTATGATGCATTGACGTTTTAGAGATTATGTTTACGAACGTTACATTCATTCTACACGAAAACGGTATCTTTTAGATGATACTGTTCTTAGGTTTCCAAATATGTAGAGAACCGATGTAGACATTGTGAAAGCTTTCAAGAAACCCAGTCTATAATCCAATCAATAACAAATTTCCAATCTCATCATTATCATCTCTGTTGTTTACTGTTGTAAAGCTTCTTCTCTTACACACTCTTATGTGGGTCTTTGTACGAATCAATAATGACGTATCAAGGACAGCTAGTGAAACATAATACCAGTACGTTATTGAACCAACATTTCAAAAATGCCATAGACAATGGACCTGCAGGTCGGTTGATGTGGTCACCTTAGTGTTGAGTACTGTTTTGATAAAGAATTTTGTCAGACATAATGTGTAAATATCATTAGGAGAAATCCATCAAGTATAACAGTAACGTATTTAGAATTAGAACTTAAAGATTCGTCATTTTTTAACCAATTGTGACTTTTTAAACCGAATTTGTTAAGTGAAGAGAAAAGTGTGTTTCAAATGTTGGTAATACAACATTAAACACTTGACTTAAATCCAAGGAACCATGTGCGCCAACTACTGCTGGAAGGTGGCTGTGACTAGGCTATCCTGCAAATGCAACAAATTAGGAAGTGGATTGTGCCTTGACGCAGACCTCACTGCAGAAATACATTCTTCTCGAACAGGAGTAAAGAGAATCATGCTACTGTAAAACTAGTTTCAATCAATTCTTCCGCACAAAGAGAGATATATATAGCACAAACTTCTTCTGTCAGAGATTAACTGGAAAGCAAAGGTAATGTTAGTCCCCATGGTCCGTAGTATGGTGTTCTACCTTCGGTTGTTGGCAATCTATAGCCTGTTTTTATATTGTATTGTCATTTATGGTTATATGTTTTAGATTTAGTTACTAGTTTTAAATTTATATCTACGATAATCTGGTTGTTTTGTTGTTCTTCGATGACAGTTTTTTTTAATAAAAAAATAACATTTAATTACTATAAATCTATATGACTTGATAGTCACTATATGGCTGCAATACTGCCAAAGTGACTTAAAACCTTAACTCACTCACTCACTCAGAGATCAACTACAATCCTCAAGACTACCAAGGAAGGACTTTCTCGATATTCGCAGAAAGTATTTGAGTAAAGCGGAGTGACAAAAATCTCTCCACAGGGCGGTATGGCACAATGGATGATTTCTACTTTCCAATAGTCAACTTTACTTTGATTCGAGCAATCTTTCAACAGCTCCAGCCCACTGTTTGCCCTTAAACCTGAAAAGCTGCGGGCCTAAGGACTGACGTTAATTTCGAACGCTGTGTGGCAGATATATGATATTGTAATTTTACAGGCATGTACATATTAGTTTTAAGTCATTTAACAATGTTATGAATGTTTGTATATTAACAGTTACTTTGCAGTTTCGGGGATGACATTTCATATTTGGATATTAATGGATATGTGTATATTAACAGTCACTTAGCATGGCAGGTATGTTATTTGTTATTTATAGTAAAATGAATACTTTTCTAATCAACAGGTCATTTTGAAACTGACTACACTCATCTTGACACATGCCTATTAATAGCTATGCAGTCAGTGTTATTCTAGTTTAATTAAGGGTGGTTAGGTAGGGCCATTACAGTATTATGTGCCCTCAGTTGATCCAATCTGATTGCATCATTCAAACTCTTACCCTCTTTTACTAATTCAAATCTTCACTTCACTGTCACTGTCTGCACTTGCAAGACGCTTATCCTGTGTTAGAATGTATCCATATTATAACATCACCACAGATTATACGTACGTTTGACAGGCTTGGCGGCTTGCCGGCGCTGTACTTTGCACCCTAGTGACATACACCAGTGTGTTGTTGTTATCATTTGGGAACAAAAGTTCTCACCCCCATAACCAGTGTCCTGGATTTATTAACATCCGACCACTATCCCGGTAACAAATTATGCTCCAGCCTGTGGCGTTATTTCACAAGTTTCAGGTACAATCGAGCACGCCCTTTTTACCTGCTTGACTTCTGTATG